AGGGGTAGAGCATTAAGAAAATACACTCAACAGATTAGGATTTCTTGGTCTAGGAGAAAGGAAGACTAAGAAAGAACATAATTAAAGGTTAAATGCTCGTAAAGGATATTGGCATGACCAGCACGGATATATTCTCCAAATACTGGACTTCAAAACTATAGGAAGCTTCCTAAAAATTGTTCTCTGCTAGAATAAGAGATTATGGGCTGGAAACATAAATACACAGTAAAGGCTCAGTAAAGATAGAAGTTTTAACAGTGTTGAACATTTGTTGGGTTCTTTCCATGTGCTCTTCATAACAACTGTAGGAGGAAGTTCTTATTTATCCCCGTTATGCAGACTAGGAGACTTGAAGGTCGGATCGGTTCAGATCACACAGGCCAGAAATGGGGGAGCTGCAATTGATGATATCATTCACAGGGTGTTAGAGAAGGCCTGGAATATTGGAGACGATTCCTTTTTTTTTTTTTTTTTTTTTTTAAGACGTTGCTGTCCCCTTTTAAAATTAATGTTATTATCAAAGTTTATTTATTTGAGAGTGAGAGAGCACGCAGGGGAGGGGCAGAGAAAGTCACCAAAGCACCCCTTTTAAAATTATTTATATGAAATCTAGTGACCCCACATGGCAGTTCTTTTATTTTTCTGTTGTAACTCTCTCCTTAAGTAGATCATTATCATAGAATCTTAGGATGGTGACCTTGAAAGACATTGGCTGGATCTGCAGTCTGTCCTCTGAGTCAAAAAAACCCAAAGAGAGACCTCACTTGTTAAAGATAGTGAGAAGTTATTTTTGCTAATCTTGGGTATCTTCAAGAAGGATCTCCACTAAAAGCCAAACTATCCTTTAAGTGGACTATTCTAGTATAAATTCTGGAAGTCAGGGACTTTATGTAAAAATGAAAACCTCACTGATATAACTTCTTGTAGAGCCTGAGGGGAAGTTAAAGAATGACTAATTACTAACTCATTGTAAAACTTATTATTCACTCATGCTGACCTGGGAGGTTCATTCAATATTTGTTTATTGAGCACTTACTGTGTTCTGACATCACAATGAGTTGCGTTGAGTCTGACCTTGGAAAACTTCAAGAACAACAGTAGACAACCCAACCACCCTGGGTAGTGTAGAGTCAGATTTAAAAATTTTTTTGAATGATAATGATGATTTACCACTCACTGTATATTACTTAATCCTTACAACTCTGAAATAGTATTATCATACCCATTTTACAGGTGAAGAGATTAAAGCTTAGCAACATTAAGAAATGTACGTCTTGCCACACAGCAGGTTGATCATGTGAGCTCCTAAAGAGAAGAGTACTAATTTTAATATAGCAAAAGCTGTTATTGAATGCTTTTATTTATGTCATCTTATTTAATTTTATAACAAAAATGATAGTAGTTGCTGTTATACTCATTTTACAGAAAGCGGTAATCACTCCTCTATTTATTACGTACTTAATATGTATCAAGAGTGCCAGATAACTCATCAGATCAAGGCACGGTCGTGACAGGCTCACAGCAAACCTAATGAGCATCGTTATTCGCATTTTACAAATGAGCCGTTGAGGCCCCGGAGGTTTAAGTGACTCAGCCCCATGGGGAGCTTGTCTACCCAGCTGGTGCCTATGACCATTTTGCTATATTCACTGACATGTTGTGTTCACTCCTTTCCAGATGAGGAAACTGAGGTTCAGAGAGTTCTCTGGCACCTCTGAGGCCACACAGCTTATAGAAAACAGAGCGAGGGCTCCAGCTCCTAATCTTTCAGGAGAAATCCCACTTACTCCCCCTGCACTGGTCTGCCCCTCTGCACAAGAACTGAAAGGCTGAAACTTGTATCCAAATTAAGTTCCCTAATGCTCCTGTGATATGTTTAAGCATTAATGATTTTAGTCATTCTTTACATCTCTTTGTATTTTCCCCCATTTTGAGGCAGGGAGCCCTATACTGCAGCATGTTGCAATAGAGGAATGGACATACAGGTTAACCCACTTGCTCCGGGAGTCATCTGCTAAAGACAGATTAGGACTCCAACCCAAATCAGAGTCTTGTGTGCCCAGCTCATTTATCTATGTGATTCTTGTCCTTTTTGTCTATTGAAAATGTGGCTTCAGTGAAGGCCTTGCCTTTATGAGATTGCTTTCTGGTGCTGTAAGGAATGCATCTTTTTCCATCTGAAATGCGTTTCTCTGAAATGCAATGAATTACGTTAATGGTTAAAGCAAGGAAGTTTGTCACTATCAGATATATACCAAGGACCACTCACTCTGATTTGAAATGCTGCCAATTTGTACAATCTCAGCCTTGAACATGTTAAAGCACAGAAGTTCGTTGCTTTAATGATCAAGTCCCCTTTAGCTTTCTGAAGGAAAAGTTTATGTTAACCATTTATGGTACTATACTTTTATTCACATTGCAGACTCAGGTAAATGTTCCCTACAATGGAGCTGGTTGAAATTCTTCTGTCTGTTGATGTAGTAAGCATCAGATTAATATCCAGATGTATTTAATTATTCTGACTCAGTATGTCCTATTTAGACAGCCTTTAAATAAGTTGTTTCTGAATTGAACAAATAAACAAGAAATAGCTGAAACTGACTGGCTTTGATTGTATGGAAGGGCTGAGAGGCTCTAAAAGAGGGATCATTTCAGAAATACTCATCTCTTGGTATACTCATTTTTACTTTTGGAGATAAGCCTGAATTGACTATTCAAACCTATGAATAGTTTTTAAAAAATTAAGTTTTTAGGGAGCCTGGGCGGCTCAGTCAGTTAAGCGTCTGACTCTTGATTTCGGCTCAGGTCATGATCTTATGGTTTCATGAGTTCGAGCCTCACATCCAGGTTCGCGCTGGCATGGAGCCTGCTTGGGATTTTGTCTCTCCTTCTCTCTTTCCCCATCTCTTGCTCATGCTGTCTCTGTCTCTTCCAAAATAAATAAAAAAAAAACTTTAAAAAATTAAGCTTTTCATTGTCAGAAGCTGATAGGTGATATAGGAATAATTTCAAACCTAATCCACATGTTTTAAGGCTAATTCAGATGTCTCTTAATTGTGGGACTATTCTTGTGTTACCAAAAGGTTTTTTAGGAAAAGGCAAGAATCAGTACTTTCTGAGTGCCTTCCTGTGCTAGTCTTTTCCATGGTTTTCTCATGTAATTCTCACACGCCTGTGATTCAGACATTATTACTCCCTCACCCTCTTTTACAGATGAGGTATGTGAGGCTCAGAGTTGCTGAGTAATTAACCCAAGATCACACAGCTATGAAATGGAAGGCTCAGAGCTTGAACCTAATTCTGCACATTCCAAAGTCCACTGATATTCTAATATACAGTGTTGTCTTGTGAACAAGTATATTAGAATTTTTAAAATTAGCAAAATTTGGGGCACCTAGGTGGCTTAGTCAGTTAAGCGTCCGACTTCAGCTCAGGTCATGGTCTCACAGTTTGTGGGTTCCAGCCCCGCATTGGGCTCTGTGCTGACAGGTAGCTCAGCCCCTGGAGCCTGTCTTCAGATTCTGTGTCTCCCTCTCTCTCTGACCCTCCCCTGCTCATCATGCTGTCTCTATCTCTCTCTCAAAAATAAATAAAACATTAAAAAAATTTTAAATTAGCAAAATGTTAGAATTAGTAAAAAAAATGTTAAGAGAAATTTGCTAATGATTCTGTTTGATTAGCCCTCCTGTAAGAATGAAACAGGTTGACATACACATGGGAAATATACAGCAAATTTACGTTTTTTCCTTATGTAGACTGAAACTCTTTTGATAAATCTACTTGGCCTTGAGCTTGTACCTCCAAGTAACCCCATAGAGATACATCAAAAACATACTGTTAATGCTTAGCAGTTAACCCTAACAAGTGGCTGCCCATTTTTGTTATTACAGGAGACTGTAGGTAACACTAGTCAGTGTTCAAGACACGTGACATCTTTTAAAATAGATTCCAATAGGATTAAAGACATGTCCCTGCTCTTCTGTTTTGGGTCATTTTTTTATGATCAGAAACTCATATGCTTAACATCGAAACTGTACGGTGATGAAGGGTTTCAGTTCTTAATGGCAGGTGACTTTGAGAATTAAGTTTGTCTCTTTCTTAAAAGTTATTTTCTGGGGTAGCTTTAGCATGAGAATCATATAACTGGTTCCCTTCCTCTGTGTTCTTATGTCCTGCTCCCTGTGTTCTCATCCCTACCCCCTACCTCTAACCCCCCTGCTAGAAAGTGCTATCCCTTGACCTGCCTGGAAAGAAAGTGAAATCATGGAATCACGCACTTTATAAATCAAAACACACGTCTGAAAGATAGTAGCTGGATACGCAGCAGGGAAAAGTACGGTCTACCTGTTCTTTAAGTTGATTGTTCCAGTAAATTTCTAACTTAAAAAAAATGAGGAGTAATATGTATTCATTGAAGTAACATGAGTAACTACAGAAAATAAACCAAGGAATATTCAACTTTGTAAAGATATCTGAAGCATATTGTTTTTCAAATAGCTGTTAGAGGGGCGCATGGGTGGCTTTGTCTGCTAGGTGTCTGACTCTTGATTTTGGCTCAGGTCATGATCTCATGGGTTCCTGAGTTCAAGCCCTGTGGGGCTCAAGCCCGAGTCGGGCTCCACGCCGACAATATGGAGCCTGCTTTGGATTCTGTCCCCACCCCCCTCTGCCCCTCCCTGGCTCGTGCATGCTCTCTGTCTCTCAAAATAAATAAATAAACTTTAAAAATAAATAAACAAATAAATGGGTGTTAGACTTTCCGAATAGAAATACTTCCGTGAGGGAGAAATAGCCTTTATGCATGGTCCCTGTTGTCATGCTGGAGCTTAGAGGTCTAGAAAGTCTGGTGCCATACGGGGCCTGAAAGGGTGGGGGCATAGGAAATGAATACTCCTTAGAGATGCTCGCTTTTCTCTTACTTTATCCTTTCTCAGTTTTGGGTAGCATGTTCCAAGTCCACAGTTGGCTGGTACACTAAAGATTTTTCTTCTTTTTCCCAGACCCCAGGCAGGCCCAGTCTTCCCCGCCGTGGTCCTATGACCAGTCTTACCCCTCCTACCTGAGCCAGATGACGTCCCCGTCCATACACTCCACCACCCCGCTGTCTTCCACACGGGGCACGGGGCTTCCTGCCATCACCGACGTGCCCAGGCGCATTTCAGGTAAAGACCACACTTTAACTGAAAACCCACTCCTGTGCAGGGTTGGGGCTGAGGTTGTAGGATGGGCCAAGGCTCACAGTAACTCTCTATCCCAGGTGTGGGGGCCAGGGTGTGACAGCCGGCAAACCAGGTCTTTCTGAATCACAAGGTTATCACGTACATGAACTTCTTAAATGAGGAGACTAGAAATCCACCAGAGATGGCATAATTTTCTTAATATGCTAGCTAATGGCACCCAGTTTTAATCCTGCCGAATCGTATCCCCTTTGGTGGGCACTGTCTCAACTGGGGCCTTCTCCTGAGGGTCTTATGCCAGGCCTTCCTCTGCCTGTGTTCCTTTCTTTTCTTAACATCTGCCTGTGAACCAGATTATAGACCGATGGTGCAGCCTTCCATTTCTAGAGCCTCCTAAATCCCAGAAGTCCAGTCCCAGAAGTTCTGAGAGAGAGCACCAGCATGCTTTAATATCCTTATCCGAAGCGAGTCGCTTGAAGTGGGGTGAGGCCTGGAAGAATCTTTTAAAAGACCGAGTTGGCCTCTGAGAAGCCAACTCCAGACTGAGGGAGCCTCTCCACGAGCCATCGAGCACACTGTGGTCGCTCTCAACATGGCTGCCCCGGTGCTCACACTCCCCTGATTCCAGAGGTGCTGCAAAACTCTGTGGCTCCCAGTGGAAGTGCGTGTGGCCCACGAGCTGGCCTCCTTCCTCTGTCACAGAGAGAATTCGTCATGGAGAGCCAGAAAGGGTGCACAGCCCTCACAAGGGCAAGTAGAGAAAAGCTCAAGGCTCTGAGTCCTATGAATAAGCAAAAGATCTCGCGGTACAGCCCTGACACACAGGCCGAGGAGCCGCCCCCGTAAATAAAGAAGCCAAACCCACTGAGGCACACGCATTTGGCCCCTCTGTGTGTCAGACGCTCTTCTCAGCGTTCGGGCTCCATGCACCTGTTTGACTCCTGGCCAGGTTAATGCCTTTCTTTCTTTCTCTTTGTGTTTCTGTCTCTGTTTCTCGCCCTCTCTTCATTTTCTGCAAAGCTCGAAGCCGCTACTCACTCCGCTGAGTTGCCTCACTGACAAGCAGAAGCTCCACCAGCAGGCTTGCAGGTTTTGATTAGTTCAGACTCCTTTCTTTCTTTCCACTTGGGAGGAGGGAAGGCTTTGTTTCTCAAGCGAATGGCAGGAAAGGGCTCTCTGGTCCTAGTGCCCTTCACATTTTCTGCAGCAGATGGACTCCCGCAGGGGTGAGTAGGGAAAGAAGAGGGGTGGAGGGAGAACCCAAACTCTTTGGAAAACCATGTTCCCACTTGTCATGATGACTGCTATTATTATTTTTATGAATCACATGGTATTTATTGGGGGAATTGTGCAGCATATAGAATTGTAGTTATCATTTCCCTCGACAGGAATGCCTGCCTCTTTTAGGCAAACGTCAATTAAAGACGCGGGAAAGGATGAGTAAGGCACAACGGGGAAAAGCGAGGGCTGATGTGGGGTCAAAGGCACAGTGCTGGATGGTGTTGGATCAGTTCTGGTCATTCCTTCTGTATTTTACACTGGGCCTGTTTTGTTTTTCATAGGGCCCAAATGACACTTTGCCAGGACGGATTTGTGCAAACTTGCTTCTGTTTAGGGTCCTCTGGGGTTTCCATCTGTCCAACATTCTGTGGCTGAAGCAGACTTTGTTTTATTTGTCCTCCGGCAGTACCTAGAGGAAAAAAACCTCAGGGAGCGATGGTCGCTTTAGAGACATTTATCTACAGCATCCTCTTACCCAGGTGTATTCACATAAAATTCAGCAGGAAAACCATTGACAATAACACTGAAACAACGCTGCACACATGGGTAGTCGTGATTGTCTATCATTTTCATGTGTGATCTAGAACAGCTAGGTTAGTTTGAGTCAACTTGCTGATAATTATTTACAACATTCCCATAAACTAATACAACATGACCCTTCCCATTTGATAGATCAGGCAGTAGGAGCAGAAAGTGGTTAATTATCCAGTCATGTATTGGTCGGAGGCCAAGGGTAGCAACGAGCCTCTGCTCTAAACTAGTTTGAAACGGAGCTTAGTCCAGTGTTTTCCTCCTGCCCCCAACGTTTCTATGAGTCGTTGCTGGCAAAGTGACATGGTTCCGGGGGGTGGGGGTGGGGGGGGAGTTCTGTGTAAACATGAAAGGGAGGAGAACAGAAAATCCCTCTCATCAGCATGTTGGGAAACAGGAAGAAAGAACTAGCTTTGGACTGGCAGGGAACCGGAGGAGCCCTGATTTACCTGCCCTTGCTCTTGAGTCTTGGGTGATGCCAGAGTGCAGCTTGGTGGGCTTGGTGGGCCGCAAGGAGTGTCCTTTCACTTCCCTGGGGACCTCTCTGCAATGGAGCCCATCTCATAGGGTCCAAGGTGCCAAGCTGCCAAGCTGCATAGTTTCTGTCTTCATTATTCCCCCGAGTATCTACAGCACTCCCTAAGGTCTAGGATTCTCTGTCTCCGTAGCATGGACAGCTAAAATACTAACCTTCATCTCCATCTCTGGCCAGTTGTGTGTTCCCTTTTCGAGATGCTTTCCAGAACAGTTCACATTTTTATGTAGAGAACTGTTTGCACCTCCTTATATGAAGGGGATACAGAAATAGTCTCTGAGGATCTGGGGTGCGAACCAAGCCCTTACTTCTACAGGAGGATTGGAGGCTTAGACCCTGGTTTGAATCCCAGCTCATGCACATATTAGGCGAGTTTCTTACTCCTTGGAAATGTAGCTTTATTATTTGTAAAATTAGGATATAATATTAATCTCCTAGGATTAAATGAGGTGCTTTATGTAAAGCATATGTGAGGATTAAATGAGGTGCTTTATGTAAAGTGCGAGCAGCGTACCTCACACACATAGTTGCTCAACAGATTGTAGCTGATCTTACGAAGCTAAATGGCTTTGTAAAAATTGCTTATCTGTATATAATTTGCAGGCAAGCACTAGCTTAAATGAGTCAAGTAGATAAAAATCTAAATTCTTAATGGGGATTATTTGCTTTGCAAAGTGGATCCACTACAGGGCATTTTTAAAACAAAAATTCTTGAAATATTTAAATACTTAAATGAGTTACTACTCAGATGTAATTCATAGAGCACTGAACACAGTACCTAGCACACAGAAGTATTCAATGTTTGCTCTTATCATTACTGTATGGATTTAGAACGAATATCTATAGAGCCAAAAGCAGTTGGGAGCCATTCACAAAAGGTCAGTTACTTGCTAAGAGAAAATAACTATTCCATTATAATGTCGGAAAATGGAACAATAATGTTCTTTTCCAAGGAATCACAGCAATAAAAGCAACCAGAAAGATCTTTCAGAAAGAAAGATTAACTGTTCCTAAAGAAATTCCATTTCATCCTATAAGACCATTCCAAAGAAAGATCATCATTTAATATACTTAAAGATCTTTAGAGAATCCAATTTTACAACTTCCTTTTTTGGTATCCTTACTTCTGAGTAATTTTTCTTTCTTTTTTTTTAATTTTTTTTTTTATTTATTATTTCTAGGAGAGAGAAAGAGTGAGCAGGGGAGGGTCAGAGAGAGAGGGAGTCACAGACTGAAACAGGTTCCAGGCTCTGAGCTGGTAGTCAGCACAGAGCCCGATGCGGGGCCCGAACCCACGAACCGTGAGATCATGACCTAAGCGAAAGTCGGACGCTTAACCGACTAAGCCAACCAGGTGCCCCTGAGTAATTTTTCAAGTGTTAGCTACATTCATACTAGAACTTAATGAATTCCAATAATGACAGTGATACTACATTGCATTTCGCCTACAGTCACCCTCATGAAAGCCAAATATAAACGAAAATAAGATGGTCTTTACCATTGTGGGGTGTCACCCACAATCCCTGCTTTCCTGCATGTAAGGATACAAAGCCAGCTGTCTTGAAGTTCATTATTTCCTTAACCTTGAGTAGCCTTCAACATTATAACAAAAACAATGGCAACAGTCATAGGTTTTTGACCAAACAATATATTATTGTCCTGTAATTGACTAATAAGGCTTACCTAATTGTAATGAGTTTAGTTCGTATTCAGCTGAATTATAAAAATCGAACACCACTTCTCAGAAACCAGACTGGAGGCATTACGGTGCGAGAGAAATCCCCCAGGGGTTGATTCCCCTCCCCTCCCATACTTACGATAAGCCCCGCCCTTACCACATAACAATCTGTGTTTAAGTAGCATTCCCCACCCCTGAGGGGTTTCGTACATTATCTCATTTCATCTTGTATGATCCTAAAAGAATATTCACTATTCAGAGGTAGCCAAAATTGTTTCTCTCTGATTCTATCAAAGAGCACGTGCGGTGAGACATGGACAGGTAAGCCTGACAATAACCCACACCATTGTCTGTCTTTGTCATCACAAGAATGTTCTCACCCTTGGCATTTGTGATGTTCCCAACACCTGCGAGGCTTGGCACACAGATGGTCATTGCTTTTCTGCGGGTCATCACAAAATACCATGTAAATAAGTAATTACAGGCTTCCAAAATATATTTTAGGTAATCATCCTACTAGGAAAAGAAACACGGCCGTTTATTACAGAGTCTCATTCTTGGACTTGGGGTCAGAGTACAAGCTGTTGATAGTGTCCTGAAGGAGATCTTAGATAAGACCTTAGATAAGTTTATTCACCGTAGGTGATGACTCCCCGCCCCACCCACCTGAGCAAAGTAGCTTCGATCAACTCAAGTCCATACCACTCTTCAGCATACACGAAGGGTTAATACGAGCATTTTTCTATGATCTTGGTCACTGCGCCCATGGACCTCTCTGATGCTTTTGGGAGCTCTCTTACGAGAGTTAAAGTACATGAATCAGAGATGCAGGGAAGGGCCATATGTGTTGTCTGCCTCAGTAACTCTGGGGGAGGCCGATGCAGATTGTATGGATCTTTTTCTCCATTTATAGGATTATTTTTTTAAACACGAGACAGAGTTAAAAGCTGTAATCTTTTG